GAAACAATCACATTTCTATACACTAAAAACAAAAAAGTGGAAACCAAAATTAAAAACATAATATCATTTACAATTACTCCCAAAATATAAAATAGGTAAAAATCTAACACAACCTATACATGATCTGTATGCTGAAAATTACTAACTGCTGATAAAAGAAATTAAAGACAACTTAAATAAACGAAGAGACAAGCTGTGTTTATGAACTGAAAGATTCAACATATAAAATATCAATTCTCCAGAAATTAATCTATAAATATACCACAATTGCTATCAAAATCCCAGCAAAGGTTTTGTAGAGATAGACAAGCTTATTTTAAAATTTATGTAAAAAAGCAAAGGATCTAGAACAGTTAAGACAATTTTGAAATAGAGGAATTAAATGGGAAGAATCACTTTATCCAATGTTAAAGCTTACTATGTAGCTACAGTAATCAAGACAGTGTGGTAGTGGTGGAGGAACAGATCAACCAGAACAGACACAGGCCAATATGCCCACCTGATTTTTGACAAAGGTACAAAATCAATTCAATGAAAAAAAAAAAGATTACCTTGGACCTAACCCTCACACCTTATACAAAACTTAACTCAAAATAGATTATAGGCTTAAATGTAAAATGTAAAATTATAAAACTGTTAGAAAGAAAAACATGAGGAAATCTTTGGGACCTAGGGCTAGGCGAAAAGTTCTTAGATGTAACACCAACAGTATAAAGGAAAATCAATAAACAGGACTTCATCAAAATTAAAAACTTTTGCTCTGTGAAAGAATCTGTGAAGAAGATGAAAAGACTAACTACAGACTAGGAGAAAATATCTGCAAACCATATCCAAAAGAGGACTGGTATCTAGAATATATCAAGAACTCAAACTCAAAAGCAAAAAAAAAACCCAAAATTCAATTACAACATGGGCAAAAGACATGAACAGACATTTCACAACACAGGATACACACGTGGCAAGTAAGCACATTGAGAAAAGATGTTCAATATCATTAGCCACTAGGAAATGCAAATTAAAATCACAACCTACCTATCAGAATGGATAAAATAAAAAATGGTGATAACACCAAATGCCAATTAGGAGGTGAAGAAAGTGGATCACTCATACGTTGCTAGTGGGAATGTAAAATGGTACAGCCACTTTGGAACACAATTTGGCAAATCTGTACAAAACACATACTATAAGACCCAGTAATTATACTCTTTGGCATTTATCCCAGAGAAATAAAAACATACATTCACACAAAAACCCATACAAGGATGTTCACAGCACCTTTACTAGTAATAGCAAAAAAAACAAGAAACAATCCAAATGTCTTTTGATGTGGGAATGGTTAAACAAATTTTAATATATCCATACAACGGAGTACTATGCAGCAATAAAAAGGAACAAACTATTGATACATGCAACAACTTGGATGGATCTGAGTAAAAAAGTCAATCTCAAAGACTATTTACTATAGGATTCTATTTTCATGACATTCTTGAAATAACAAAATTAGAGAGATGGAGAACACATTAGTGATTGCCAGGGCTAGGCATAGGGAATGGGGTGGGTGTGGCTAAAAGTGTATACACATAAATGTATGTACCCACACAGAATACATATATTTGAAAATAAAGGGGTAGCACAAGAGAACCTTGTGGTGATGGAACAATTCTGCATCTTGAGTGTGGGGGTGGTTACATGAATCTACAAATGTCATAAAATTGCACAGAACTACGCATGCACACACACACACACACACACAAATGAATGCATATGCTCATGAAACTTGAATAAGCTCTGTGGGTTGTACCTATGCCAGTTTCCCGGTTTTTCTCTTGAACTAGAGCTAAGCAAGATGTTCCCATTGGGGGGACTAGGCAAAGGGTACAGAAAACTTCCCTAGACTTTTTTGCAACTTCCTGTGAATCTGGTAAGTATTTCCAAAAAAAATTTTAACCAAAAACCAAACTGGATTGGGATGATAAGTGTTCAACTGCATAAATTTACTAAAAATTATCAAACAGCATGCTTCCACAATGGAAAATTTTTGTGGTATCAAAATATATCTCAATAAAGCCGTTTTAAAGAAAAAATAATCAAATCCTGATATATTTCCCTACTTAAAGGGAATATTCATATCTAACAGGTTATCAAGCACAAAACTTTCAAGAGTCCTTCAAAATCTTTTTATTATTTATTTCTGTTTAGCTGAACTATACTATGGTTAATTTTTCTTTAAAAAGTTTCTTGAAATATTGTACTAATGGTTGTAATAACTTCAATTATCATAAAAGTAGCAACTCTTTCCCAACAAATTAAAAATATAGAGGAAAAAAATATGGATAACAAAATTGGCAGTCCATGTTTCAGTTAGTTTCCTGACTAAGAAAGGTGCATGCCCTAAAAGAACAACACATGGAGAAGACAAAACTGTAAACACACCACTGGGACACCCATCCTTCCAAAGAGAAAATAGTTTAACTCTGCATGTTATCTGTGATCACCTCACACACTTAGGAAAGACAGGTCAGCACTAAAAAAATTTTTTAAGCGGATACTTTGTGAACAGTCATACCTTGAAGAAAGAGCACAGTCTTTCAAAAGTAACTCAATATTGGGCCGGCCTGTGGCTCACTCGGGAGAGTGCAGTGATAACACCAAGGCCCCGGGTTCGAATCCCATATAGGGATGGCCAGTTAGCTCATGGGGTAAGCATGGTGCTGACAACACCAAGTCAAGGGTTAAGATCCCCTTACCGGTCATCTTTAAAAAAAAAAAAAAAAGTAATTCAATATTCTCCAACAGCTGTGCCTACACCATGAAGCTGGCATGTTTTTTCTCTAGAATTCAAAGGTTGCTACTGCCAAGACTCTTTCCTGGCCAGACTCCTCATAACACAAGCAAATATCAAGTCCCAACTTGTCTCCTCTATTGATCCAATTCAATCACTATGAAGGAAACACCTCCATTGAGGTCAGGAACAAAGCTTCCTTGTTTCTGTCGTCATTCTCTCGGGTCTCTGGAGCTGCTGCTCATACAGCACACACACTTCTTTATGATCTTGATTCCATACTTTGTTTCTGATCTTTTCTTACATACTAGACTCAGTAACTTCTGCCTTTTCCTAATGATTTCCACCCATAATGAAGTACTTACTAGCAATAATCTAATTTGGGGTCCTAGATCCTGCATTCTTTCCTGGTTCCTCAACTCCAAAATAAACTTCCAGAATATTGCCTTATGATTGCATAGGCCTGGACAGAGACTATAAAAAAGGCTACAGAAAAGGTAGCTGCCAGAAGAGAAATGGCCTTCTTACAGCAAACTTGCAGGGGCTTCCATCTGTATTACACTGGTGGAATTGTTCAACAGGAAACTTACCTGGAAATAGGAAACAGTTCAAGCTAAAATACTCCCACATTTTAACTAAGGTTAAAGTACTAGGGCAATAATAGCCTGGTGATTTGAAACTACTTTACCGTGGCTATTTCACCCTTCTATACTGGCATTTCTTTACTGGAATGGCTTATTTTTAAGCATTATATATAAAATGCTAGCAAAACATGCATTTTTTATCCCTATAAATTTTAATGAAAAGGAAATATAAGGTTCTGCTCAACTTAAGCTTCAACCTTAACAAAGATATCTTGGCAATTTAAGGAAGGACTGGACCAATGGGTGGCATTTTCAACATTTATCAAATTCCTTCTTGCATGTTGGTCAGCTTCTTACAGACCATGAAACATTTAGGCCCAGACTAACTAACCAGACTGCCATTTTAGTTTATTATGATCTAAAGAGAATATGACAAAACTAAAATTTCAACTTTAACTACGTGGCGCTTAACCTAACTCATATTTAAGAATAAAATTCTTTCCTATACTTTTTTACTTGTTCAGTATTAAAATCTGTACAAATCTACCAGTTTGGGAAAACCTCTATTGCAGTCACAAACATTAGGAATTCCTCTACAGGAGGCGGGAGTATGAAACACAGCTTAGCACACAGGCAGTGACCTTGGACCAGCTACTCAACCTTGTCGATACACCTGTGTTGGGAGAAGCACATGAGATGCACACACAGCTGCTTACCACCTATGAACACACAGTATTACTAGTATTTATTGTTTCATTATTCAAAAATAAAAATACAACAAGCTCCAAATTTTATAAGTGGCAGAATAGTTCTACTTTTATAGAAAAGAAGAGGAAATAACTCGTCATGCAAAAAGTAAAAATTATCATGTAATTTCCAAGAAATAGTATTAGTCTCTCCTAATATTAAAATAAAATATAATTGGTTATTTCTTTTTTTTTTTCCTTTTTGTCTTTTTTACTGACCGGTAACGGGATCGCAACCCTCGGTGTTGCGCCCGCACCATGCTCAGCCAGTGAGCGGGAACCGGTCTCCACATGGGATCCGAACCCTCGGCGGGAGCGCCGCTGCGCTCTCAAGCGGCACACTCTCCAGTGCGCCACCGGGCCAGCCCTAATTGGTTATTTCTAAAATACCAGAAAATAATCCCCAAATTACAAATACTTCTGATTTAACATATCTATCTCCAATTATATCATTACGTGCCCAACATTTTTTTTTCCTGGCATTCTTACTACATTATGAACTTTTAAGTTTTGGAGCAGACATTTGTTTTTTTGTTGTTTTCTTTGTTTGGGGGGGCTGGCCAGTGTGGGATCCAAATCCTTGATCTTGGAGTTATCAACACCACACTCTAACCAACTGAGCTAACCAGCCAGCCCTGGAGAAGACTTCTAAACATAAAAATTAAAAGGCTTCAAGTGAATGATCTGCACGTTAAATGGTAATAAAATGCAACTGTTCACCTACCTTCCAACCCACTCAGAATACATACATTTAAAAATACAATCTCCTGAGGATTAAGGGCAAAAAGTTAAGACTCACTGCTTATTACAAGTGAAAGGCTGTAAGCCAACACTCCTTTCTGGATGCAGCCATGGCTGGCATGTGAGAGCTGGTCCCTGAGCACCTACCTTCTTCTCTCTCATGCTGTCAGCCTGCACTGTTTCCAGGCGGTTTTTAAAGTGCTCACAATCCATTTTCAGCTGCTCTAGTTCTTGCTCTTTCCTTTCCAGGTCTAGAAGAAAGAGACATAAAAAAAGAGACAAGATATTTCAAATCACTAATCTCTTCTAAGCATCTGTTTTGCCTAATCTTCTGTTGGTAAAACCTGTACAGATTTCTTAGGTAGGAATATTCACATTTCTGATTTCTAACCAGTCCTTGAATAAGCAATATTCTTAAAGTCCTGTTTTTTAAGTTATCAGTTTTTAGTCCACAGCAGAAAGAACTTTTTTTTGTTTTCTGTTTTGTGTTTTATAAAGCCTCACTTTACTGTCAGACTGTACTCAAGGCTTCAGGAGAATGTTATTTAAAGGACTGAAGGCAGAGCTAAGAAGCCTGACTTCTCATGGCACAGACTTTTATCTGCTCCATAAAAAGCAGAAGGCAGCTCAGTGAGTAGACAGAGCCAGTACAGGCTGATTCACAAACCTGACCAGAAGACTGACTCACTGGGAACAACTGCAGCAGTGGTCCACGAGGAGGGTGGTGAGTACAATGAGAAAATGCCACGGTGGAAGGGTGGGAGCTACGCAACACTTCCTCTCCACCGCATTCATTTAGTTGATGATTCAAATGGCCAGCAAAATCCCAAAAGACATCCATATCAATAATCAACCAAAAGTACTACTACCAACTTTAGATAAAAAATATTATGCTGCAGAAATACCAACATTCAAAAAATACATAATTCAAATTTTTAGGCACTTGATCTCAAAAGCTGAGAAATCATCAGTTTTTATACAAACACACACTAAGACTTGAGGGGAACAAGCACTAACAGCTAATAGTATAACCTCCCTGATTAACGTTGCAATGCTTTAAGACAGCGATTCTCAAACTTCAGTGAACATCAAAATCACCCAGAGGACATGATAAAACACAGACTGCTGGGCCTCATCCAGAGTTTCTGATTCAGCATTAGTCCCACCTGGGAACTTGTTAGAAATGTAAATTCTCAGGCAGGTCCACCTGAGAATTTACATTTCTAACAAGTAAGACTAATGCTGCTGGTCTGGGAACCACACGTGGAGGACAACTGCTTCAGGACCACAGCCTGATCTCATAATTAACAAAATGAGATGGACACACAACACACAACTAGCAACAGCAAAAAAGGAAATATGGGATCACAGGAATGTGAAGAGCAAAAAACGGAGGGTAGCAGAAGGCAGCCTGAGACAAGTGAGAGACCCTCAAAGAGCCAGACACCTGGACAGCAGAACATTACTTCGCCCTAGAGGGGGAAAGGCATAGAGACATGTCCTCAGTTCAGTGTAGACAAAAGAGAAGGGGCAGGGCTTTATAATGTAGGGGACTAGGGAGACCAGAGGAAATCAAAATAAGAAACCTGTGGGGGCCGGCCTGTGGCTCACTTGGGAGGGTGTGGTGCTGGTAACACCAAGGCCAAGGGTTCAGACCCCTATATAGGGATGGCTGGTTAGCTCACTTGGGAAAGTGTGGTGTTGACAACACCAAGTCAAGGGTTAAGATCCCCTTACCAGTCATTTTTTTTCTTTTTTCTTTTTTTTTTTTTTTTGTTAAAAAGAAACCTGTGGGGACTGCCTAGAACTATACGGGCATCCCAGAAGTTCTAAAGGAAGAAATAGAGGGAGTTTCTAAGTTCAATTGAGAGACTGTGCCCTAGAAGGAAAATTAGAATTTAAAGGTAAATATTCAGACCAGCTAGATTATGAAACTGGCTGGCAAAGCTTCTCTTAAAATGGTTTTCTTAGAAACTAGGGCAAAACCATTTTGGACTATTTCTTCTCCCTTAAATGAGAGTTTTCTCTTCTGCTCAGTTAAATCAGCTATCAAGCACTATACTTTAAAAACTACAGTGACATATCTGTAACAGTGTTAAAAGATATTTATACATATAGACACACTATAATCGTACATGAAATATGTATGGTATATGGTCACAGACAAAGAAACAAAATGAAATGAAATTATCAGTGGTTTAAAATCTTTTCTTTGCAGTTAACTCTTAAAGTTTGCTTCTATTATTAAATTACTCAAACACAGTAAAGAAGAAAATTGCACTTCTACAATCCTTATCATGTGTAAAAATCTGTGGAAATTAATTTTGACCACCCAAAAAACTCTTTCATTATAGTAATTTCATAATCTCTTGGCCGACAGAGCTGTATGTGACCTTAGTGTAAATTAACATACCACAGGGATGAGATTAAAAAGTCCAATAGGCAACCCTATAGAAGTCCAGGTCCTAGATGTGAGGCCACACCCATCCACACGACACTGTCAAGGAGGCAGCAGGTGCCTTTCCCTGTACGAGGCCACCACCATGTGGCCAGATGAGAGCATTGCTACTACCACCTAACAAAACTACCTTGCATTTCCAACTTGGCCCATTGCAGGCTGCCTAAGACCACCATGAGGGAAGGGGTCTTCATCGGTTTTGTTTAATGCTACTCCCCAAATGCCTCAAAAAGTACATGGAATGTGGTTGGCACTACGTAAGTATTGGTCACATGAGTGAATTTCACTTCTTTATACCTTCCTTCTCCACACAGATACTGTGGTTATCTGTATGACTCATTTTTCTATATGAGAATAAGTACATCGCTTTTGCAATTTTTTTTACTTGTTTTGGGCAACTGGCTGGTATGCTGAAATTTTTTAAAAAGCCAGGGACAGAAATAATATTGACAGAGAAGGATACATTATATATAGTCAAAACATTATCTTACCAAGCCTCAGTATTAAAACAGGAAAGGGGCTGCCATCAAGCCTAGACTATATTTCACCTGCTGATTTTTAGTATTCAAAATTACAGTCTCTGCCTTTGCCTTCACACAGCCTTCTCCGTCTTTCCACATGGTCTTCCCTCTGTACGTCTGTCTCTGTCCAAATTTCCTCTAAGGACACCAGCAGTCATAGTGGATTAGGGCCCACCATAATGGCCTCATTTTAACTTCACTTTAAGTTCACTTAAATCATTTTAACTCTGTAAATAACTTACTTCCAAGGTTACATTTTCAGGTTACATTTTGAGGAACTAGGGGCTAGACTTCAACATATCTTTTGGGGGGGATATACCACAGGTAGTATTCCAGTAACCTCCTAGGGTTTTATCAGAACTTCCAACATACATACATGACCATCAGCCCTATATGAGACCCATAAAACAGTTTCAGTTGAGAGGAATTCCTAATCACATGGTTTTCCCAAAGCACACAGTCCCAGTCTCCAGGAACTAATAGGGGTGGGGTGGGTGGAGAGCTCCCAAACTTAAGAACACGCAGACATGTCCCCACTCCCACTAAAAAGTCTAATAAGTTGCATATTTTGAAAAATGTGCCTACCAGAAAAGCTGGTAAGCATCTCAAGGTTCACAGAACTAACTCAGAGAGGTGCATAGAAGGCTATCATATAAGCTCTAAGACGCATGATGGGCATCAATTTTAGAGTCTGACAAATCTCACATTGGCAGAGTGAGTTGATTTTGCACTGAAGAAACAGCATTTTCCGACATACTAAAACAAACTTTCTTTTTTTTTTTTTTTTTTAAAAAAATGACTGGAAAGGGGTTTTTAACCCTTGACTGGGGGTTGTCAGCACCATGCTCACCCAGTGAGCAAACCGGCCATCCCTATATGGGATCCGAACCCGTGGCCTTGGTGTTATCAGCACCGCACTCTCCCGAGTGAGCCACAGGCCGGCCCTAAAACAAACTTTCTTTTTTTTTTTTTTTAAAAAAATGACTGGAAAGGGGTTTTTAACCCTTGACTGGGGGTTGTCAGCACCATGCTCACCCAGTGAGCAAACCGGCCATCCCTATATGGGATCCGAACCCGTGGCCTTGGTGTTATCAGCACCGCACTCTCCCGAGTGAGCCACAGGCCGGCCCTAAAACAAACTTTCTATTTGCCTAACATACCATATTCTCCTCCACCTCCGCACTTGGCCAAACCACTCCTACCTGGGATGCCTCTTTCACCATCTCCTAATTCCAATTCCTCCATAAAGCCCTCTTTGGCCATTCTCTTCCCTCCTTGGAATTCTGACAGTCTTTCCTACAGTCAAATGACATCTATGATATACTTCCATCATTTGTCTTTTATCTTCCCTATTATTGTTTCCTAAGGATTATGACTGTCTTGTGCATCCCTGTGGATTCCTTCAAGTAAACAGCATAGAACTATTAAGCCCCAGGGTCAGATCTCAGGTCAAGACCCAAATCTCGTGATCCTCTGGTGGTACCTGCAATCTTAACCACCCCTGCTCCCTCTCTCCGTTTCAGGTGAAGTGCATCTTTTCTCTTAAGATTCTGCTCCTTGAGGCTGGCTCTGTTGCTGTGGATGCAGTCCCCTGCAGCTTACCCTTCACTGCTGCACCCATAGACAACTGCAGGTTCTAATCACACAGGGAGACAGAAGCTTACAAATAGGCCAGTCACAGACTAACCTATTAATCTGGACTATCTTCTGAGATGGTAACTGAAAGCTCCACAGGGCCCCCCCTCTTTCCCTCTCAACTGAGAGAATTCACCCTCCCTCATGCAGAGGTTCTCATTTATAAACAATAATGCAGGCCCCTTTGTCCACAAAGAACCGTCCCAACGCTTAAACCTACTAAAGAAATAGTGCTGATGATGTTTATATCGTAGTATTTTGTTATCTAAGCAGAACTTCCTCTTGGTAAACCTCAGTGATCCCCTTGGAATTCTTCACAGGTGTCAAAAATGTAAGTTGAAAAAGTAAAAAAAAAATAGAATATTCCAGGACTCACTTAAAAAAAAAAACAACAAAAAAAAAACCCCTCAGTTAAAGAACTTAAATGCATTTGGAATCCTAGTACCCATTCAAAACACTTTAATTAGCCGTCAAATTTTTAAAATAAACCAAACCCGAAGTGGGGGAGAGAGTTGAAACCAGAACACAAGAATAGTATTTCTTTTTTCCTGTACTGACAAAAACCTGCTTCTAAAACCACTTATTTTAACGTAAAGGTCACTGGAGTAATCTTATAAAATGAAGAAAATGTGCAATT